TAAAGACAATCCAGTTCCAGTATCTGATGGAAAATAATGACAGTTAAGATAATCAAGTATGTTAGTATTCCAGAGAATAGTCCTTCTGAGGAATTTTTGGAGAACCCTCTTTGGTACTATGACTCGCGACACTTTTTCGCGTTTAGAGATTGTCCGATCGATATTCAGATGTAGTATTACGTTTAAAACTGTTGTTTTGATTGAAGTTCTGACTGTTTTGTGAAACTGACGCTGCGTGCTGGAATGATAGAGTAAACCTGCTGTTTTTTGGCTGCGTGGATGAGAGTGATTGTGTGGATCGAGGGAAAGATGATTGGAGAAATTTGTGGAAGGAGAAAGTGAACGTTGGAGGTATTTGTCAGCTGGAGGGATGTTGGAAAAGGCTGAAGAAAGGAGAAGGATGGTGCAAAGAAACAACACGAATTGAAGGAAGAAACGAAATGTTAGAAATGTATAACTGGATGTTGAAGACATTCGTGAAAGGAGAAAGCGACAGTTGGAAATATTCATAAACTGGAGGGATGATAGGGAAATCAGAGAAAAGGAGTAGGATCGTGAAAAGGAGCTATACGAATTGAAGGAAGAAATAAAAAATTAGGATTAGATGATTGGAGAAATCTGTGAAAGAAGAAAGTTGGAGACACTCGTGAACAGGAGGGATGTTGGGAAAATGAGAAGAAAGGAGAGTAGCGATGAAGAAGAACTACATGGATGCGTAGGAAAGCTAATTCGTTCGTAATGATGGAATTTTAACCGTAGGTTAGACTGGACTATTTCTCTACGAGTCATAGGATTATGGTTGTAGTACATTGCCGAATAAGCCCATTGGAAGGAGGAGCATACTCGTTGCTGGAAACTTTCTTCAATATACTCATTAGGATTGGAGGATTCGTCGTTAATGACTGAACTTACCAACGGGGTTGGACGCAGCTGCTGCAGCGTTACTGGGGGAGCTTTCTGCGGCCCTCTTGCGCCCTTCGTGTAATAAAAACTCCATTGTTATTCTTTCTTACTTATCATTTTTGTTCTAAAGTATCATACGTAATACTGTACTATGTTCGTCTGATTCAGAGCTTCCAGAGCCACTTCCACTGCCTTCTTCGCTGCTGCTGCTGCTGCTTCCGCTGCTACTTTCGTCACTGTCATCGTCTCCTGAAGCAGAAAGTACAACCTTTCGTTTTCTTTCCATTTTCCTTTCTACGTCGACAAGTAATGCTAATAAATTACCTTCGTCGTCGCAGTCTTCTTCGCTTTCTTCTTCTCCATCTAGTTTCAGAAATGTTCTATTATTCCTCTGTATATTTGAGTAAATCGTTCGCGCTCTTTAGAGAAACTTACGTCTATTGGCTAGTTTGCCCTTCTTTCCGTCCTCTCCGCTCTGCTCGCTGCTTCGCTTGCTCTTGTCACCTTTTCGGACAAATAATTCTACTATAGTTTCTTAGAGGGTTCGATTTTCGATGTACCCTACGCTCTCGTTTCCATTTTTTTGAACGGAAACTCGCCATCTTCGTTTTCACCTTAACTTCGAACGAAAAATTCAAACCATTCGCAAATTCAAAACCAGAAAGTATTTCACTCGTTATTCGAAGACGAACCCAACGCACTCCTCAAATTATTCAAAAAGTGCACGTAGAAGTACATACCGCGTGGTTCGGAAAGTTCGTAACGAAATCTCGAAAGGATTTAAAGCGATATATCTCTGTTTCTAATTAAGATAGGGGTTTTACTTGTTATTACACTAAAATTACTCCCAAAGTGAACTGTATTTTCTGCGACGGAGCGTTGCCATGAAAACTTCAACGTCCACCCTCCACTGTAGAAGACATAGTTCGACTTGTATCCACTCCTGTTTATCTTACGAACGATTCGAGCAGCGCGTTCGATTCTCCTTTAACTTTGATCACTTTGTCAATTAGAAACAGAGATACGATCCAACAACCCAATACTTTCTTCTAATTCCAGTTCAGAAGATTAAACTTACCGGATTCCTGGCTAGATTCGTGAGAGGAGAGTCCAACCTGGGCGCTTCCTTTCTTACCTCCATTCTCATAAACAAAAATAAATAAATAAGTATAAAAGTTTCTTCAGTTTCTCTGAAAGTAAATCCTTTCGTGCAAATCCTTACCTCGGAGCTTTGCGGCTTGGCCAAAACTGTCACCAAAAGGCAGACGAATAAGAGAGCGACGAATTTCATGTTGATATACTTGGTGTAGTACAGTTATCTTTAACAATTGTTCCTACCAGAAAGCAACTCCTGATGTTGTTCTGTTGCTTGCTTCCTACTTGCACTTGCTTCTTTGCCACTGTCCCGTTCCTATTTATACAGTTTATCGGCTCGTCGATGTTAATCCACTTCGGCGTTTTTAAATACTTAATAAGAGGTCTTTCGATATCAGCGTCGATATTCAAGAACACGTCCTTGAGTTTCGTCGAATGTTAATATACTTACTAACCTACACCCCGTTGTTTCGAAAAAATTACGCCACTATCGCAAATTACCCGGCTATCTCTGATTGCACAACTCATGATACACACGAGCCTTGCCAAATAGGCGAATTAAAGGTATAAATGACATGAGGATAAGAAGAAATCTAGCTGCAACTTGAGGATGGGAATTGAAAAATAGGATTTAAATCGATAATAATTTATTGAAAAATCCACGAACAATCGTGTTTATTCTCGTTGACGAATAAGCAATAAGTTCCATTACCGTTGGGACACATGTGAAAAGAAAATATATACGTGGAGAGTGATAAGCAAGAGGCGATGATTATCCGGAATTGGTATTTAATAACTGGTTGACTGCGTCCAACGTCGATATCGGTATCTGAGGAGGAAAGATATATATGCAATGAGTTACAAATGTTTAAAAATCGATTATCGTTAACTGACATGACGAAGAAATTCAATGAGTCCATTTACCCGGAACACGTTATCGTAGTATCCATTATTGCCACTAAGCATCGGTGCGATGCTTCCTAATTGTGGTGTGTTATTATTATCCGGATAAGGGGGTGCCTGACGACGGGAGACTTGCTGTGTGTTGATGTCGGACGGGACTTGGGATTCTACCGAAGAATTCAGGATCACTTGCTTCCGCGGTCCCCAGAATCTCTTCCGGAGGATCCATTTCGGAGCGGTCCTCGCTCGATGGGGACCTCCTGGAAGATAAATTGTTAACGCACGCTGGCGTTCAGAAGTTTAACCTCTTAGGCACGGCGGAACTTTACGCAGGGCTGTTTTTCGGTACGGCAGAGTTCAACGCGAATTACGTGTAAATGATACGGCACTGCAATCTGTGACTGATAATGCTGTTCTTTACACGAGTACATTGGAATGAAGTGTTTGATGATTAAATTATAATTTTTCATTAGTATTTATAAAAATATTTATTTAAAAAATTTTTTAAAATTAAGATATGATTTTAACGCGCATTTTAACTTTAACAATTTATTCTAATAATTAATAGTACATTTCAGTATGGTACATCTTAAAACACGGTACAACACAAAGGCGTCGTACAGAAAAATACATCCGCGTAAGCCACTATAGTGGTGCGCCGTACAGAAAGATGATATCCGCGAAAGCCACTATAGTGGTGCTCAGTGCCTAAGAGGTTAAACTTTCAACCACGTGTTATTCACCCAGAGATTCTTCTGGGGAGAGGGTTGAATTTAATTTGGGTACGCATCAGGTTGGATAGTTGGAGTTTTCGAACTTCGACGATTAGTTTTGAGACAATGATTACTTCGTTCTAATTTTTTTCTGTAATACCATTTTATACGGTGCTCATGTTGCTCTGTATGATGGTGGGTATGTTTTACGCTGTGACGAAGGATATTTAGAAACGAGGTATAGTTGGTGTCGTGTACTCGCGTCGGTTTGAGTTATCCTTCAAACTTGGATCACGAGAGTAAAATCGGACTGTTTTTTAACGAGGTCTGAAGCGATCCCGGAATACCCTTTCTCCAACGTTATAATATAAACGACTTGATTATGCGTTCAGCGCTCGGACTGATTCAATACTTGGTTGTTTAACGTTCAAAATGATACTGATTCGAAATTCAGAGGAAGTCACGCATCTCAGCTACTGAGGGCGGAGTTTAATTTTGGAAGTGAAAAATGGGAGAAATAAGAACATTAAGTATTATAATAAACACTCTGTTTAGTTTGATATTGTAAAATTCTGAATTCGACAAACAAAATTGGAGTTTCATCGTAAATTGAATTACAATACATCGTACTCTTAGGCGAATTAAACGTCAGTCTATAGAGTTCGATATTGTAAAATTTTGAATTTAACAAACGAAATTCGAATTTCATCGGCTTGAGTGAAATGAATTGAAATAAATTGAATTACATCGCACACTTAGGAGAATGAAAAACGATAGACAAACTTCAGTCTATTGAGTTCGATACTGTAAAATTTTGAATTTGACAAACAAAATTGAAATTTCATCATGAATCCAATGACATTACGCTCTTAAGCAAATTAAAAATAATTGACAAACTTCTCTCTGTTACGTTCGATATTGTAAAACTTTGAATTTGGCCAACGAAATTCGAATTTTATCGACTTGAGTGAAGCAAGCAGAAATAAATCCAATCACGTCGCACCTTTACACGCATTGCGTAATTAAAATTAGCAAACAATAGCGTATATCATGGAGAAATGAAAATTCAACGAAAACACCTCACCAACAAGTACAACTTCGTTCGCTTCGTTGGCCAAAGGAGGCACAGGCGGAGCTGGCTCGA